CACCACGAGGAGCCCGAACGAGTCACACCAGGAGGAGGGGCAGCGCTCATACAAGCCCCCCAAGAGGGCCCCCAGAGGTCCACCATATGGCCCCAAGAGGTCCCCAGATGGGCCACAAGAGATCCCCAGGAGGCACCACGACGCGCCCGAACGACTCACACCACGACGCGGGCCCCGAACGACTCACACCACGAGGAGCCCGAACGAGTCACACCAGGAGGAGGGGCCCGAACGACTCACACCAGGATGAGGGGCCCGAACAACTCACACCACGAGAAGCCCGAACGACTCACACCAGGACGAAGAGCCCGAACGACTCACACCACGAAGAGCCCGAACGACTCACACCAGGAAGAAGGGCCCGAACGACTCACACCAGGACGAGAAACCCCAAACGACTCAAATCACGAGGAGCGCTTTCTCTCCCTCCTCCTCCGCCTCGTCCTTCTCCCGCTCCCCCCACAAGGAGGATGTACAAGGAGGCGGGAGGAAGGAGGAACAGGGGAGATATGCGGGGCCAAACGGACACACGCCTGAAAAACACGACTGTCGGCATGCTTCGCATGAGTTGCTGTTGTGAGATGGGCTGGTGGGGATACGCGAAGCGTAAAGAATTTGCTTTGCATTTGTTCAGTGGCCGTCGTCGTTCGGGAAATGGCCGATGGCAGTTGCAACGGCAGATATATACTGTTTAAGTCGAGGTCTTTATGCTCAGTATGGATATCTCTATTGATGTGGTGCGTGGTGATGTGACGAGGGAGGGGTCGATTCTTGAACGGGCAGAAAATCTACGTGCGGGACGGGTGATGAACACTGGGGGGGGGCCTCCCTGTGAAACTTGGTCGGCGTCCCGGTGGCACGAGGGAGGCCCCCCCCTTCTCAGGTCGTCTGAATATATATGGGGTGTCCCGTATGGACAGGTCGCCTCTGTCGGCCAGTGCGCGTCAAATTGAGCAGCTTCGGGCAGGTCGCATGCTGTTGCTTGCCCTTGCTCGGCTGCTGGCGGAGCACTTGAGGGCGGGGACGGGGGCTTGGTTAGAGCACCCTGTGTGCCCGGAAAGAACACCTGGGCGACACAACCCGAAGGGAGGTGCCCAAGGTGCCTGCATGAATTCACATGCAGTCGGACCTCGCAACACAGACGGCGGCACGGACCCGCCCCAGGCGTTATCCGCGCCGCCGTTGCGAGGTGCCTCGAGACGCCACCCCGAGACACGGCCACCGGCACCACCCCCACTCGGCCGCCGGCACCACCCTGCTCCCGCCTTGTGGGCCCCCAAGCTGGGTAGTCGAAGCCAATCTGGCGCCAATCTGGCAGGCCCAATCTGGCAAATGGGGGCAATCTGACGAGGGAGCCGACGCGAATCCAGCCTGGCGAAGAACCCAAATCCTCCAATATGGCCGGGCCAGACTGGCCCTGGGGGCCCAATCCAATCTGACAGTCTGGCCTTCGACTACCCAGCACCCCCATTCGGCCGCCGGCACCACCCTGCTCCCACCTTGTGGGCCCCCAAGGCCCCCACCTCGTTCAGGTGGCCCCCGCTCCTGGCTCTCGGAACCCCCGCCCCCAGATGAGCTGCGTGTATCGGGAAGCCTCCTCCTCCTCCTCCTCCTCCTCCTCCTCCTCCTCCTCCTCCTCCTCCTCCTCCTCCTCCTCCTCCTCCTCCTCCCCCCCCTCCCCCCTCCTCCCCCCCTCTCTCGGCCTCGCCCTGCAGTAGGACCGCTGTTTCTTGGTCAGTGGAGGCAGCAGGGCCCCGGGGCCACCCACTCCCTCGGAGCACGCTCGGGCTCCGACGTGTCTCGTGGCGACTCGCATGGGTTCGTTGGGGGGCCGTGTATTCGATACTCCAGATTTTGTAATAAAGGGAGGGGGATCTCATTTCGGGGGGGGTCTCTTCCAGGCTATCTTGGAGGGCCTGGGGGGGTCTGGGGACGATGTGTTGGCGGGTTCTCCCACGGGGGGGGGGTCTGAAATGGCTTGTCTTGGAGGGTCCAGACCCCCTCCCTTTTATTACGAAATCTGGAGTACCCTTGGGGCGGGCAACTGTTCGCAGGGAAAGGGGGCCCATCGGACTCTCTCGGGCAAAAACGCTCAGGGCGAATGCAGGACGGCCAGTGAGAGCTCGTATCCTCCCGGCATGTGTCCAGCTATCGCTGCCAGTATATGAGACAGTCTCTCCCAGCTTCTAAGAGCCTGGTGAAGACTCAGAGTCTCCGTGGGTGTGCGATATGCCCAGTATTCTCAGCCGTTTGCAGGACGTCGTTGTGTCGCTCTCATCAGAAGACGATCGGAAATTTGATGTGGCGACTGACTATTGTCAGGCCCGAGCTCTGCAGTCACAATTCTCGAGTTGATCCAACACGTGACCGCTTCTTCGATTCGGATGACGAGTCTGGAGCAGACAGCCCCAGGGAGCAGGCTGACAAGCCTGCGAGTCCTGCCCTGTGTCAGGACATTGATGTGGAGGCTCCCGCGGAACAGGCACTTTTGGAGCAGATCGTCGAGGAGCCCGACTGAGAGCTCTTTTCCTCTCCCCATCCCTGCCCTTCGTCCCCTCCTCCTCCCCCGCCCGCTCCCCTCCCCCTCGCCGCTTCCCAGCGGCAGCGGATCGCTGCCAACTGAGAGGAGGCTTCCCGCCGCCGTGCACCCCGCAGGGAAGCTGCTGCGGCCGTCAGGTTCGGGAGCGGCCAAGAGGGGGGTGTCCAAGAGGGGGGGGTGCAAATCATGACCGGCGGCATGTGCGCGGCCCAGCGGGGGGGGCCAGGGACGCAATGAAATAAGAGGAGGCGCCATGAAATCTGGGGAAATATCGTGGCCCGCGCCATGAAATCCACCCCCCCCTAGTCATCACCCCCCTCTTCTCCGCTCCCGAATGGAGCCCTGCCAATCTCTCAGGGCTTGTCTCCTCTGCCGCCCGGGAGCGGACAGCTGCACTGCACGGCACGGAGGGGCAGGCGCGGCGGGGCTGCCCTGCTTCTCTGTTCTCCTCCTGGGCCGTTCCCTTGCCGTCATCATCACTCCGGCTGTGCTACTTCTTCGTTGGTCTGTGTTGGCTTCTTGGCTCTCACTCAGTTGTGAGCACACGTGCATCGGCATGCCACCCTTCGCTTCCCCTCGCCCCGCCTTGTCTTTTTTTTCCTCCTACAGGCCAGTCGCAAACAGCTATGGCCGAGTTCACCCCGATAGGAGTGGCCAGGCGGGCTTCGGCCTGCATGTGGACCATGTTGCCTTGTCGTGTCTCTCGGGGGCTGTAGTGATACTGCTGATCGGGTGTCGGCTGATGTCGTGTGCACGGCCGTTGGCACCGGTCCGTTGGGGCTGTCATCCTCTGCTGCGAGAGGGGAGCCTCCACGCCTTCTCCGTCGGCCGCGCGACCCTGGGCTCGTTGGAGCACACGCCACGCCGTGCCGCGCGTCCGTGCCTTTCTCCACCCCGACCGCAAGATGGCACATGACAGCGTACCGCAGGAGAGGCGACGACCTGCCCTGCAGCCCGGCAGAGAAAGTACCTCTCCCCAATGCCCTGCAGCTCTTGGATGCTGCATCCCATCATGGATGGGCTGCGCCGCTCTTGACTGGGCGGGCAGCATCCGAACTCCCAGGGGGCACGGGGACCCTCTCCTTCGAGTCGTCGTCCTCCTCTGCCTCCTCCTGCCCTCCCAACACCCTCTCCCCCTCATCCTCCTCGCAGTCGTCGTTCTCCTCTAAGGGTCTCCTGAATGGGGTCCGAGTAGATGGGTTCGGAGCATCTCGACGCATCGCCGATGCATCGGCTCGGCGATGCATCGGCCACGCACCGGCGACGTCGGCGATGCATCGGCGACGTCGGCGTGGAGATTATGGGACCCCACATCGAGCCGCATCGCTGATGCATCGCCGATGCATCGGCGATGCGGCGCGATCCTCCGACCCCGACTACTCCGACCCCATCTGGGAGGCCCAGATCCTCCCTCCCGCCTCCTCCCCTCGGCTCCTGGACCCCTGGGCGACTCGAACAGCCATCTGCGCCGAGAGCCCCCTCGCGCGATGCTCGGCCTCCAGCGGCGGCCGCTGCGCCACGGCGTCCCCCCGAAGATGGCCCCCTGAGCAGAGAGCCGCCCCGGAGGCGAAATGGACGAGACGCCCGGGGGCCCCAGCGACTCGAAGAGTCCAGGTCGTGGGAGGCGCTGCTTCCTCCACCTCTCCCCCCTCCCGATCTCGTACTGGCTCCTCCTGCTGCTCCTCCTCCTCCTCCTCCTCCTCCTCCTCCTCCTCCTCCCTCCCTCCCTCCCTGCCTGCCTCCCTCCCTCCCTCCCTCCCTCCCTCCCTCCCTCCCACCACTTCCACTTCCACTCACGTGCACTTCCACTTCCACTCGCACTTCCACTTCCACTTCCACTTTCACCTCCACTTCTACGTCCACGTCCGCTTCCACTTCCACGACCACAACCACCTCCACGTCCACTTCACTTCCTCCTTCCCTCCGTCCCAGCCTCCAACTCCCTCATCTTGCCTCCGCTCTTCTCACCCCTCTTTTCCCAAGCTTTCAGAGGTCCCAGGTCTCCAGAGGTCCTCGGGAATCCCTAAGGAGGCCCTCAAAAGAATCCAGGACATCCGGGAGGTCCCACAAAGAGCCAGGAACAAGGAGGGAGACAAAAGAAACAAATGATCCTCCTCCTCCTCCTCCTCCTCCCTCCTCCTCCTCGTCCTCCTCCTCCTGCTCCGCATCGCATACCTCTCTTTCATAACCTCCTCCTCCTCCTCCTCCTCCTCCTCCTCCTCATTCTCCGCCTCCCTCATATCCTTCTTCTCCCCCTCCTCCTCCTCCTCCTCCTCCTCCTCCTCCTCCTTCTCCGCCTTCCTCCCTTTGCCCCATGCCTCTCCCTCGTCCTCATCCTCCCTCCCTCCCTCGCTCCCTCCCTCTCTCGCTCCCTCCCTCCCTTCCCCCTTCCCTCCCTTCCCCCTCCCTCCCTCCATCGCTCCCTTCCCCGGCAAAGGGCGACCTGGGCGAGGCAGCCCCGTCACCGGGGCGGCGAGAGGGCGTTGTTCATGCACGCGTCGTACGCGTCCCGCGTCTTGAAGGGGTGGAAGGCCGCGATCGTCTGCGCGGCGCAGGGGGGCGGTAGCGATCGGCGCGAGTCCACAGGAGCGAGGATGAGGAGGAGGAAGGAGGAGGAGGAGGAGGAGGGGAATGAGGAGGGGGAGGATGAGGAGGAGCAGGAGGAGGAGGCGGAGGAGGAGGAGCAGGAGGAGGAGGAGGAGCAGGAGAAGGGGAATGAGGAGGAGGGGGAGGAGGGGGAGGCGGAGGAGGAGGGGAATGAGGATGATGATGATGATGATGATGATGAGGAGGAGGAGCAGAAGGAGGAGGGGAATGAGGAGGAGGAGGAGGCGGAGAAGGAGGGGAATGAGGAGGAGGAGGAGCAAGAGGAGGAAGGGAATGAGAAGGAGGAGGAGCAGGAGGAGGAGGAGGGAGGAGGAGGGAGGAGGAGGCCCGGTTCACAAACGCGCGTACGGCCTCGTGGGCTCAGCCGCCGCGGCCTGGGGCCTCGCCTGGGCGGGCCAGCCCACGGCCTGCCCCGAGCGGCCAGGGCCGTGCCCTGGGGAGGAAGACTGCTGGGTGCGCTTGCGCCAGAACCCGACGCAGGGCTGGACCTTAACGTTGTTGTTCGTGTTGTTTTCGTTTTGTTGTGCGTTTTGCTCTACAGTCGGGGCGTTGACCTAAGGAACCCAAAATAAGGAACGAGGCCCCTTTTTCCCATAAGTAAACCTCGACTTCCCATCGGAACCCTAAGCGAAACCAAAGGCGAACTGCAAAACAACTAAGGAACACCGAGCCCCTCCCCAACGGAAAGGGTTCCTTCCTCAGCGCCCCGACTATACCTGTTCTCCTGTACCTCCCTCCCAAAACGAAAAACAAAGCACAGCCGGAGTCCAGCAAAACAGCGTTCGGGTCACGCCCCGACCTGACATCATACCCCTCCCACTCGTCCCTCCCCGTTGATTGCGCTGTTAGGTCCTCCGTCCGCGGACGCGTGCCAGAGCGGACCTGCAACGTCGTGAGGTGAGTGATCAAAAAGGGGAGCTGCGCACAGTGGAGGAGAGGGGTGAAGAGGAGGAGGAGGAGGAGGAGCAGGAGAATGAGCAAGAGGAACAGGGGGACAGCGAGGAACTAGAACACGGACGAACAGCAGCAGCAGCAGCAGGAACTGGAAGCAGGAGGAGCATGAGGGCCAGGGGGAGGCGGAGAATGAGAAAGGAGGGGGGCGATAACGATGAGGAAGGACTCGGATCCACTAAAGTGGCCCGCGCTGGGGCGAGAGCGCAATTTTGAACGACGGGGAATCAACGTTCCTAAAATGAGGCCCACGCTGCAGCCAGAGCACAAACTTGAAGGTCCGAACGCGCTCGGATAGGAAACACAACACGTAAGAAACAAAAGCTCGCACCAATCCTATGTACAAAAATATATGCCTAGAGCGCGCGACTCTCAGGCCACCTCCTTGGGGGAGAGAATACAATAGCACTCAATATAATCGTACTTGTAAGAGGGGAGGAGGGAGGATGAGAACATCAGAACGAGAAGGGAGTGCAAAAGTCAGGAGGACCATATCGGGAGGTTGGAGAAAGGAGAGAGGAGCAAAAAGAGGAGGAAAAAGGGGGAGAAGGGGAATGCAACGGGAGAAAACAATAAACGACAAGGAAAGAAGAGAAGGCGTCAGGGACACGGCACACTGGGCTGTGGGGGGCGTGCTGACGAACATGTTGTAGGCACTTGTCCAAGAGACGCCAAGGGTGTCGCCTCTTCACCAACATGTTCAGAATGAGGGCCATCATCACCACCAACAACACCAACACCTGTATTGCCATCTTCATTACCACCACAATCACCATCATCATCACCACCTCCATCGCAAACACCATCATCGGAATCATCATCGTCATGACCACCATCTACATTATCATCGGCATCATCATCATTGTCATCAGCAGCATCATCATTAGCCTCGTCATCGTCATCATCACTACCATAATCATCATCAACATTAACAGTATCATCATCAGCAGCATGATCAACAGCATGATCATCGTCATTATTATCATCATCGCCAGCAGCATCAGCATCGCCATCATCACCATCATCATCAGCATCATCATACTCAGTATAGCAAGCATCGACATGCGAATCAACCTCACCAATCATATCATAATCGCCAGCACCTTCATCATCAGCACCACCATCTTCACCACCATCATCATCACCACCGCCATCATCACCATCCCCGTTCCCCGTCATCCACCCCATCACACTGTGCACCCGATCCCTGCCCTCTTCGTCATCCTGCCCGCCTCTTCTTCAGAGCTTTTCATTCCTCGTCCTCCTCAACATGCCCCCTCCTCGTCCTCCTCCTTCCCGAACCGCCTTCGGACGGGGCGCGCCTGCCCGACGCGCCCAAGCTGGGCCCCCCCCTACCCCCTACCCTATGAGGGCCGTCCGTGGACGCGTGAAAACACCGGGCCCCGCGCGCACGCGCCCGGCGCACGCTGCCCCACCCCCACCGCGCGCGCGTGCTTCCGCGTGCAGAGAATCCGGCGCGCCCAAATTGGCTCCCCCCTAAGGGCCGCGGACGCGCAAAACCACGCGCCCCCCGCGCGCGCGCCAAGCGCATGACGGGTCCCCCCCCCCCGCGCGCGTATTCTCACGTGCGCAGAGTCCGGCGGGCCCGAGTTGGGTCCCCCCCTGGCCGCCTGGGGCCGTGGCCGCCTGGGGCCCTGGCGCACGAGCGCAGGCGCAAGTTGGGCCCCCCCCCCCGAGCCCATGTTGGGCCCCCCCCTCCCTGAGGGCCGTGGACACGCGCCAGGCGCATGCTGGGTCCAGCCCCCTCCTGGGCATGCCTCTTCACGCGTCAAGGACACGACGCGCCCCTGCTGGGTCCCCGCCCCAGGGGGCCGTGGACACGCAAACATGCGCGCCCCCCGCGCGCACGCGCCGGGCGCGCAGTGGGTCCCCCCCCCTGGCGCACACGCATTTCACGTGTGCAAAAAATCCAATGAGCCCCACGTTGGGTCCTCCCCTGGGCGCACGCACCCCCACGCGTGAAAGGACGTGCCCCGCGCGCACGCGCCAGGCGCATGTTGGGTCCCTCCCCCCCCTCCGCGCAAGCAGCTTCACGTGTCAAGGATCCGGCAGGCTCGAGTTGGGTCGCTCGCTGGGGGCCCTTGACGTGTGAAAATAGATGCCCCGCGCGCACGCGCCGGGCGCACATTTCGTCCTTCCCCCGCGCCATAGTTAGGTCCCCGCCTGGGGACCGTGGGCACCCCAGCAAATACATGCCCCGCTCGCACGCGCCAGGCGCATGTTGCCCCCCCCCCCCTCCCCCCTCTGCGCACGTGTTTTTGTTATAGGGATGTGGGCACGTGGAATTACGCGCCCCGCGCGCACGCGCCAGGCGCATGCTGGGCCCCCCCTCCGCGCACGCATCGGCACGCGCAGAGAAGCCGGCGGGCTCCTGCTGGCTCCCTCGCTGGGCGCTGCGGACGCGTGGGAAAAGGCGTGCCCCGCGCGCTCGGCGCCAGGCGCGTGCTGGGTCCCCCCCGCGCCCACGTCGGGGCCCCCGCCAAGGGGCCTGGACACGTGGAAACGCTCGCCGCCCGCGCGCGCCAGGCGCGTTTTGGGGCCGCCTTCTCCCGCGCACGCAGCGTGTTGCTGGGGCCGCGGACGCGTCAGAGAGCACGAGCCCGGCGCGCACGCGCCCGGCGCGCGTGTTGGTCCCCCCCCCCTTCGCGCTGCGCTCTGCAGGTGTCGAGGACCCGGCGGGCTCGGGATGGGTCCCCCTCGCCAGGGGGCCACGGAGGACACGTGAGGCTGCTGGCCCCGCGCCGCGCTCGCGCCGGGCGCATGCTGGGTCCCCCGCGCGCCCATGGTGGGTCCCCCCCTCCTATGGGGCCGCGGGCACCGAAAATGCGGTGGCCGTAGACACGTGAACGTGCGAGCCCTGCGCGAACGAGCCAGGCGCATGTTGGGCCCCCCCCTCCGCGCACGCAGCTTTCACATGTGAAGAAGCCTGCGGGCTGAAGTTGGGACCCTCACTGGAAGCCGTGGACACGTGGAAATACGTACCCCGCGCGCACGCGCCAGGCGCATGTTGGGTCCCCCACGTCCGCGCGCATCAGTGCACGTGTAAAGAATTCGGAGCGAGGTTGGGTCCCTCGCCTGCGGCCCCGTCGAGGCCAGAAACATGTAACAGCACATGCCGAACGCATACGTGCCGAGACTCATGTTGGAGACCCCACCCTCCGCACATTATTTTAGAGTATCCATTTCAGGTGTGATAAGATGGGTCCCCCGCCGGCGGCCCTGTCGAGGCCAGAAACAGGTAAAAACACATGCCGAACTCACGCGTGCTGAGATTCATGTTGGAGACCCACCCCCTGCGCAGACGTATTCTTACATGTCCAGTTCAGACGCCTGCTGCTTGACACCCTTCTGGTGGAGGACCTTTGGCCTGCAAACTGAAGAACCCCAGAGCCCTTACCGAGAAAAATTGCGAGAGTTTGAAACATGGAGAGCGGCTCCTTTTCAGAATGAGGTCGCCTTAGCGCCGCGCAGATTCGTTCAGTTCTTATAGCAATTTCAACAAATACCATTGCTACAGTCCCAAAGAAAAGGTTTGGACACGATTTCGGATTAGCAGGGCGCAACCGTTACGTTGATTCGCAGTGCTGAAATCCAAGGAACGGTGTTCTGACACGATTCAGGATCGACAAGACGCGCGAATAACAATGATTCGCGGCGTTAAAGTCCCAGGAATGGTGTTCTGGCACAGATGCGGATGTCCAAGCGGTTGTCTCCAACCGGATATGCTTGGAGGGAGGGTATATTGCGACATCGTTGAGGAGTCTTGGGTTTACACTGGCCCTCCTCCTCCTCCTCCTCCCCCTCCTCCTCCTCCTCCTCCTCCTCCTCCTCCTCCCTCTCCTCCTCCTCCTCCTCCTCCTCCTCCTTCTCCTCCTCCTCCCCCTCCCCCTCCTCCTCCTCCTCGGCCTCCTCCTCCTGCTCCACCACCTCCTTCTCCTCCTCCTACTCCTCGTCCTCGGGGACGGCCTTGCGATCGTCCAGGCAGGAGTCCCAGTTCGGCGGCGGCGCGCAGTGGTCCTCGATCAGCTGCTCGAAGTCGTCCACGCGGTAGGCCTCGCGCGCCCGCAGCGACGCGTCCGGCGCGCGCCGCTCCCTCTCTGCCCCGTCCGGCAGGAGTGGCAGGGGAGGAGGAGGACCGACGAGGAGGAGGGAGGAGGAGGAGCCGACGGAGGAGGAGGGAGGAGGAGGGGAGGAGGAGGGAGTAAAGAGTGAGAGGAGGAGGAGGAGGAGAGAGGAGGAGGAGGAGGAGGAGGAGGAGGAGGAGGAGGAGGAGGAGGAGGAGGAGATGCAGGAGGAGGAGGAGGAGAACGAGGAGGAGGAGGAGGAGTAGGAGGAAGAGGAAGAGGAGAGGAGGGGGAGGGAGGAAAGGAGGATTAAGAGGATTATCAACGAGAAGGAAACCTGAAGAAGCCGCACCTCGACGTCGCTTTGGCCGAGGACGAGGAGGTGGGAGAGGAGGAGGAGGAAGGGGAGAGAGGGAGGAGGAGGAGGAGGAGGAGGAGGAGGAGGAGGAGGAGGAGGAGGAGGGATTTCAGGGATTTCGGCCTCTTGCGGGTGCAAGTCTGGGCCCGACCTCGGCGCTGTGCCCCTCCCCCAGGTATGCCCCCATTCTCAAGGGGCTCCCATGCAGGGTATGGGGCGGCCGTGCTCGGGCGCCACCCTCAGCTGGTCGTGCACACGCCGTACTCCCGCGTCCACGCCAGCATCACCCGCCAGGGCCGTATATCCACTCCTCGAGTGTCGGCTGTGCCCTGACGACTCTGGTCTTCGCTCCCACGTCGGAGTAGCTAGCTAGGTCGGAATTGGGCTCCAGCTTCGCCTTTCGCCCGAACCGCTTGGCCAGCCACTTCTCGTGGTGCGAAGCCGCTCTGCTCTGCTCCCTCGCGCTGCAGGTGACGGTCTCTGCACCGCTTTCTATTATGTAGCTGATGTCGTTGGTATTATTTCTCGCCTTCGTATTCCGCTGCAGCTTCTCGCAAGCGCTGTTCCCAGCGCTGTAGTTGATGATGTCGGGCTTTATCGTTTTGTCTCCGTCCGCCAGCCACACCTTGGCGATTTCAGCACGGGATTTCCACATAGCCATGCTTGTGCCGCGCTGATTTCCGAATTGTAGCTGATCACGTGGGGGCTCCGCTACACCGCCCGCTTCTTCTCGCACCAGCCACCGCCCGTCTTTCTCGCGCGCACAGCCACTGCCGTCCCCGAGCTGCCACTGCCCGTCCTTCTCGCACGAACTGGTTGCATCCGCTGCCGGCTGCCACTGCCCGCCCTTCTCGCGAGCACCGCCACTGCCGTCCCAGAGCTGCCACTGCCCGTCCTTTTCGCACAAACTGGTTGCGTCCGCTGTAGGCTTCCACGGCCCGCCCTTCTCGCACGCCCCGACAGCCTCTCGTAGCATCCTCTGCCCTGCCTTCTCGCACGAACTGGTTGCATCCGCTGTAGGCCGCCACTGCCAGCCCTTCTCGCACGCACCGACAGCCTCTCGTAGAAGCCACTGACCGCCCTTCTCGCACGAACTGGTTGCATCCGCTGTAGGCTGCCACTGCCAGCCCTCCTCGCACGTACCGACAGCCTCTCGTAGCCGCCACTGCCCGTCCTTCTCGCACGTACTGGTTGCATCTGCTGTAAGCTGCCACTGCCTTCCCTTCTCGCAAGCACCGACAGCCTCTTGTAGCAGCCATTGCTCGCCCTTCTCGCCCGAGCTGGTCACTCTTTCTTGACGCTGCCACTGTCCGTCCTTCTCTACTTTCGCCTCTCCCGTCTTCTCGCCATTCCTGTTTTCTGGTCCAGCCGTGGCGACGAGGGGGAACGGGGTAGAGTGTTTCAGGGTGTAGATAGCGCAGATGTTCCCGAGATGTGGCTGATCACGTGTGTGCCCCGCTTCGCCGCCTTCTTCTCGCACCTGCCACTGCCCGTCGTTCACACGTGTACAGCCAGCGCCTTCCTGCAGCTGCCACTGCCCGTCTTTCTCACACGAGCTGGTTGTTTCCACTGCAGGCAGCCACTGCCCGTCCTTCTCGCACGAACTGGTCGCCCTCTCGTGACGCTGCCCCTGTCCAGCTGTGGCGACTAGCGGGCCCACGTCGGGCTCTATCCACTGTGGCGGCCTCCACTGCCCGTCCTCCGTATGTACCTCCCACGGCGACCCCCACCAGGGTGGAGTGAGGGTGTAGAGGTCCCAGACAGCTTGCCTGCAGGTGGCGAGTTTCAGCCTGCGGTCGGCGCGCCGCCGGCTGCGGCTGGGCTTGGGGGGCCTCCCTTCGTCGCCGCCGCCTCCGCGAAGCACGTCGCGAGGGGGAAAGACGCAGGGCCCACTCCACTGCTCGGCCTGCAGCATGCGGTGCAACCTCAGGCTCATCGCGCCTTTGCCTGGCGCTGGGGGCTTTCCTCCAGGAGGAGGCCTAGGAGGAGGAGGAGGAGGAGGAGGAGGAGGAGGAGGAGGAGGAGGAGGAGGGATGAGAGGAGGAGGAGGAGGAGGAGGAGGAGGAGGAGGAGGATCGAGGCCCAAGTTTTCGACGCGCGCCTGGCCCTCAGGGAAAGATCCTGAGGACGCCTGGGGTGTGCTGCGGCGCCCTGGCCGGGGTCTCTGGGAAGTCCTCCTCCCATCCTCCCCCTCTCCTCATCGGGGTCTCGCCTACTCCCTGCTCCACCAACTCCCTCTCTCTCGTACTCCCTGCTCCGCCCTCCCTGCCTCCCTGCCTCCCTCCTTCTCCAGTCGCTGTCGCTGTCAGCCTCGGAGTACGGATCGAACGCGGTCAACCCTCCTCCTCTTCCTCGTCCTCCTCGTCCTCCCTCTCCTTCTGAGCACCATGAAAAATGAGGTTAGCCAGCGTGGACCCAAATCGTGCAATACAGCTATGCAGAGCAATCCAGGTGGTGCAATCCATGTGGGGCAATCTAAGTGGTGCAATTCGGATGTTACAATCTACGTGGCGCAAAACAGTTCAAAGCGATACAGAACACTGCAAAGCAATGCTAAACCATGCAACGCAATGCACAACCTTGCACAGCATCTGAAAAGTAATGCAAAGCAATGCAAAGCAAAGTACAAATCCATGCAACGCAATGCAAAGCAATGCAAATCAATGCAAAACAATGCAAATCAATGCAAAGCAATGCAATGTGATGCGATGCGATTCAAAGCCATGTGGAACAATGGAAACCAATGCAAAGCAATGCAGGCAAAGCAAAACATTGCAAAGCAAAGCGATGCAAAACAATTGAAAACAATGTAATGCGATGCAAGGCTATGCAAAACGGTGCCCGGCGACGACGGCGGCAACGGGCTGGCCGGACCGGCACCAAGGCCCAATGGCAAACGCGGCAACGAGGGCGACGAGCCGGCCGGACCGGCACCGGAGCTCAGGTGCCTCAGAAGCGAAGCAAGGACCCCCAAGTGCAAGCACTGTTTGGGATATGGTGGTGAGCATTATCATCCTCATCCTCATCAGCATCAGCGACAGCATCCTCGTTCGCATTGTCATCTTCAACATCAGCATCAGCATAAGCATCACCATCATCAAGAGCATCACCACCATCAACATCGTCATCAGAATGAGCATCTCCATCATCATCAACATCACCATCGTGATCATCATTATCAACATCATCATCAGCATCATCATAATAGTCATCATCATCAGCATCATCAGCATCATCGTCGTCAACATCATCGTCATCAGCATCAACATAATCATCATCATCATCATCATCATCATCATCATCATCATCATCATCATCATCATCATCATCATGAGCATCAACATCATCATTAGCAGCATCACCATCAGTATCAGTCTGACTATCATCATCATCATCATCATCATCATCATCATCATCATCATCATCATCATCATCATCATCATCATCATCATCCTGTAATGTCCTCCTCCTTCTATTTCTCATCCGCCCCCTCCTCATCCTCCTCATCCTCCAATGTACACAACATCTCCCGTTTCGTTGCGTAAAACACGATGGTGTCATTTGGGGGGTTCCAGGTCGACTATGACACGCGACGCGGCAGAAAGAGAAAACCACCGGAATGGAAGGGATGGATGGAAGGGGTAGGATGTCAGCCATGGTTCGAGCGCACCATGCCTGCATCCCTCCTATCTCATCCTTCCATCCCTCCCTCTTCCCTCCCTCGACCTCCTCCTCCTCCGTCACCCCCTCCTTCCCTCTTTCCCTCCTCCTCCTCCTCCTCCTCCTCCTTCTCCTCTTTCTCCTGCACTCCCTATCTGCATGCATTGCACTGGTGACTGAAAATTCCAAGCCGGCTTACTGTTTCGTCGTGTGTACCAGCATCACTGCTGTCGCCTGCCGCCTGCACGGGGTCCTGATGCACGCTGGTTCGGCACCCGTGCCCAGCAGCACCGCTGGGAGAGTGCGCGCATGAAGCGCTCGAGCCGCACGGGCTGGAGGACGGGCAATCTGGAGCCCAACCAAGCACCACGGGGATGACAGAGGCGGACATTCCTGTCTCTGCCACTCGCGACCCTTTTGATTCATCTCACCACCTCCCTCCTCCTGCTCAGGGGGGGGAACATCGGCATGGAACGCCGCTGACGCAACATGTCGGTGTCGGCGTCAGCGGCGTCGAACCGGCGTCGAAGTCGGCGTCGAAGTCGGCGTCGGCGTCGGCGTCGGCATCGGCGTCGGCGTCGGCGTCGGCGCGGGCGCGGCATCGGCGTCGGCGTCGGCGTCGGCGTCGGCGACGTCGACGGCGACGACGGCGTCGTCGTCGTCGTCGGCGTCGGCGTCGGCGTCGGTGTCGGCGTCGGCGTCGGCGTCGGCGTCGGCGCCGGCGTCGGCGTCGGCGTCGGCGTCTTCGCCCCCCCCCCCACACCCATCTGGGAGGGGGGGCCTATGGAACCTTAAGGTCCATCCCATCTTAGGCGGGGGGACCTGCGAACCATCGACCCGGAAACAAAACATCGTCGATGGATAGGCGAGAGGCCCCCCATCGCGAATCCGCACGCTACTGGGCGGGGAGGGTTGTCAGGACCGTCACGGCGATCAATAGGCAATAGCAACCCCAACCCCGGGTGTGAGAAGTTCCGCCGCCTTCTGAGAAGGCCTTCTCCTTCTCATTTGCCCCCCTCGCTCGCCGCCGAAACCTGATGATAAGATTGGCTCAGGGTACCTTCCAGAATTGCCAGAGGATCTAGCGGCCCTCGCCTCAATAGCCCGTGTGGACCATCAGAAACTCCGGTAGATCCTGGAATTTCTGGAAGCCCTGGAACGCATCTAGGAGGCCACATGCGAACCCGACGCCACCTCCCCCCTCAGAACTCGTGGGGCGGTTGACTACGCGGTCATCACCAGACACCCCAACCATGAAAAAAACGATTTCTCATTTTTTCGCATCCGCAAGGCGCGCCACGTCCGAGGAAACATCGCGGCTTCGAGTGACAGCTTCCCTAACAGAAGTGCAAGAGCACTCTCATGTCCCATATCGCAGCCACGCAGGAGAGCAAACGTCGACCACGTTCGTCCCGAGGGCAGCGGCACCAAACCGAAGAATTCTTCCACGCGGAGCCACCACATCTGAAATTCAGACCGGGCCAACCTGAATCTCAGACCGGGCCAATCTGAATTTCAGACCTGGCCAATCTGAATTTCAGACCGGGCCAATCTGAATAATGTATGTGCAGAAGTCTCAGGCAGAACGCCTCGCCCGGATTCATGTCGGGCAATATGAATTTCAGACAGGAGCAATCTGAATTTCAGACAGGGGCAATCTGAATTTCAGACAGGGGCAATCCGAATTTCAGATGTGGGGAACGCCCCCCCAAACAAAAATGTATCATGATTCCCCCCCGCGATCAACCTGGAGCGAGGGGGAATACACTACCCCGCCGTGCCCGTGACAGAGCAGCGACATGCAAGTCACACGAGCTCAACAATCGCGCGAGTGCGCGTCGGCGCCGAGCGCGCCAACTCGAGTGCGCAGCCTATGACCAAAACACCAACATTCATTTGAATCATTTGATGTTGGGGATGCCCGGCGGTTCGCATGGGGCCTCCTAGTACCCTTAGCATGCCCCTCACTAGACCCCCGACGACATGATTTCTCCGTAAAATTGACCCCCAGGGGGCTCGGCCCAGCATTCCCTTTTGACGCCCGAAATGGGCACGGAAAGAATGGGTACAATGCCCAACAACAAATGTTGTCCCAAACCAACGGCGGCCGCTGTTGGGCAGGCGGCCTTCTGTCTCAAATGGACACAGGCCGCGGCGGCGCGGACAGCGAGTCCTGTTCAAAATGAGCAGGAACTGCTGCTGGGCATCGTACCCATTCTCTCCGTACCCATTTCGTTCGTGCAGGTTCCATGGGACCGGCGCTCCACTCTGAGTCGTTTGTGTCGCTGGCCCCCAGGGCCGAACTAGCAAGAGCGGTGGTCCCGCGGCCGCCCACCGCCTCCTCGGCAGGTGCACGGCCGCCGTGGCCGTCCCTCCTCCTCCTCCTCCCTCCTCCTCCTCCTCCTCCTCCTCCTCCTCCTCCTCCTCCTCCTCTCCTTCCTCCTCCTCCTCCTCCTCCTCCTCCCCTCCTCCCCTCCCCCTCCTCCTTCTCCTCCTCCTCCCCCTCCTCCTCCTCCTCCTCCCTCCTCTCCTCCTCCTCCTCCCTCCTCCTCCTCCTCCTCTTGGTCCTCGGCAGGCCGCGCTCCCCGAGCGTGCGCGCTGCCAGTCGCTGCCGCCCCCGTCGCCAGGCGAGGGGCCACGCTCGGAAGAGCGCGGGGGGGGGGGCGGCGGGGCTGAAACACGTCCTCCTCTGACCTCGCCCCCTGGCTGCCCCCCCCCCCCTCGAGAGCCCTGGAGGGCGGCGGTCCGTCGCCCACGCTGGCGTGAGCCTGCGCGCCCTGCCTGCCCGCGGGGCCTTCGAGGCGCCAGCGCTCCCCGCCCGCGGAGCTCGTCGGCCAGCCCAGCCGAGATTCTGGGGCCAGGCTGGCGCCGAGCCCATACTCCCTCCTCTCCCCGAAGGGGCCCCGGGACACACGGAGAAGTGCACACAGGTCCCGGGATTCCCCACCTGTTCTTGCGTGTTCTTGACGGTCGTCCTCGCCCCACTTCCAGATGTGTTCCCATCTTTCCCTGGGAATCGGCGATGATTTGCGTCTCTCTGTGTGTTTCCCTCCTGGCTCTTCTCCATCCCCTCAACGTAGACCAGAAAACAAACGGCACCGCCCCCCCCTACGGCCACACGGGCCTCAGCATATATGCCACGAATTCTGGCTCGAGTTTTTGTTTCGTGGTATACGCTTCGGCGCCCGATGGGCCGTGGCGCAAAATGGAGGGCCGTAGGTGGTGTGGTGGTGTCGTTTGCTTGCTGGTCGACAACATGCCTCCCCTCCCTCCTCTGCAGCTGCCCTAGAAGGTCGAGCATCCGCATCGCGCACCCCCCCAACTCTCCTCCCGCTCATCGTCACCCCCTGCTCCCACCCTGCTCCCACCCTGTTCCATCCTGCTCCTTCCCAGCGTCGCCCTCATCGTCCTCCTCCCCACTCCTGCTTCTCCTCCTCCTCCTCCTCGACTTCCCGCTCCGCCTCCTCCTCCTCTTCTTCACCGTCCCCTTCAGAAGGAAGTGGGGGAAAGAGGATTAGGCAGGGAGGAGAAAAGAAGGCTTCAGTTTTTGTTCGAGGGGCCTCTTGATGTCCTGGGGCGTGCCGAGGGGGGCGCAGAGGGCTATCATATCCTCTTGCTCGGTCTGCTCTTCCTCCTTCTCCTCCTCCTTCTCCTCCTCCCCCCCTCCTCCTACTCCTCCTATTACAACTTGTAGTTGCATGATTAATATTGATGGTATTGTGTTCCTCTTCCTCCTCCTCCTCCATCGTCTTCTTCTTCTCCTCCTTCTTCTTATTCGCATTATTTCTCCTTTCATGAATCGTAGTAATAGGTATTATGATTTCTGGTTTCGTCCTCCTTCTCTTCCTCCTCCTCCGCCTCCTCCTCCTCCCCCCTAGACGATGACGACGGCGGCAACGACCGCGACGACGACGGCGATAACGACGATAACGACGGCGGCGGCGGCACACCCTCAAGTACTGCAGGCACTGGTCCAGGAACAGATCCTCTCCCCACCTGACACGGCCGAGGGGGGTAGGATTGTGGATGCCACGACAATGGATGTCCTAACAATCCTATCATCGAATTATCAATGTGTTTAAGATGTCGGAACATGTCCTGAATGTGTTTAAAACATGCGTTTTACATGTTTAAAGCAGTTTTAACACATGGTTTAGACATCTGGAAAGTATTTGGCAACATGCTTCCTCGCCATTGATCGTCCTCCACAAGGGCAGGAGCACCGCCGCTGCCGGCGACAGCGGCGGCGACGATGCCAGCGGCGGGAACGGTGAGAGCCGCGAAGGGCACACCGCACGAACATACAGCCGGACCTGATTGGACAGGACGCGCGAGAGGACACAAGACCCTTCCGAGGGCCACATCGCCATAGGAGTGTAAGATAGGAAGGCACCAACTATACACCAACACCGATCCTGGCCAGGATCACCCTGGGCCCAGGATCGGTGTATACGCCGTCCTGCCTTGGGCAAGAAGGCATATACACCGATCATGGGCCCAGGGTGATCCTGGGCCAGGATCGGTGTTGGTGTATAGTTGGTGCCCTCCGATAAGAAGGCACGTGTCGCGAGACACAGGACACGAGGGTACCCTTGAGCTGGCAGGGTCGACCTCCTAATCCGGGCCGACTGTAGGAGCACCGCCGCTGCTGGCGACGACGGCGGCGACGGTGCAGGCGGCGGGAACGGCGAGAATCGCGATGGACACACTGCACGAACATAAACCGGTGCTTCAGAGATGGGGTCCTGAAGGACGAGGTCCCAAGGACGAGGTACTCCAGATGTCGTAATAAAAGGGAGGGGGTCTAGACCCTCCAAGACAAGCCATTTCAGACCCCCCCCCCCGTGGGAGAACCCTCCAAAACATCGTCCCCAGACACCCCCAGGCCCTCCAAGATAGCCTGGAAGAGACCCCCCCCGAAATGAGACCCCCTCCCTTTTATTACGAAATCTGGAGTACCCCAAGCAGTGTAAGCCCACCCTCAGACCCCTTTCCCACCCTTAGGACCCAAGCCCTCAGGGCCCCCTCTTCGAACCACCGAATCAACTTGCGCAAGTCCCCGCGGGGTATTTCGAGTCGGTGCCAGGCCACCCCCCGCCCAAATCCTCTGGAACGCCTTTGCGCGCCACGCCACAGGCGGCGCCGCAAACGCCGTCGCGGGGGGGCCCGGCGCGGAACCAAGAAATCCGTGAGGATTTCCGCACGCGCCGCCCCCTGAGATCCGGCGCAGCGAAAAATGCAATCTCGTAGAACATTACCCTGCGACGTACCCAACCAATCGGCACACACGGGATGAGATATCGTGAGACGGCAGTGATGCGACTGGCAAGGAGAAGCAAAAGGAGGTCATCGGGGTGGAAGAACAACCACCTAGGCAGAAGCAGACCGATGATGACGCATCGGCACCAAAAGGTTTCATAGGCGGAGACGCAAACATACAATGAAGTGTTGCGTGTTTCCATCTCTCCAAGTCCTTCTCCTCCCCCTCCTCCTCCTCCCCCTCCTCTTCTTCTTCCTCCTCATCCTCCTCTTCCTCCTCCTCCACCTCGATTTCCTCCTCTTCCTCGACGCCCTCCTCTTCCTGCCCCTCTCCTTCTTTCTCCTCCTCCATCTCCTTCTCCTCCTCCTCCTCCTCCTCCTCCTGCTCCTCCTCCTCTCTTGTTTTTCCTCCTCCTCCTCCTCCTCCTCCCCTCCTCCTCCTCCTCCTCTTCCCACATCCTCATCCCGTCCTCGTCCTCCTCCTCCTCCTCCTCCTCCTCCTCCTCCTCCTCCTCCTCCTCCTCCTCCCCCCTTTTCCGCTTGCACATCGTCATTATCCCTCGTCTCCCTCGCCCCCCTCCTCCCGTCCTACTCCTCCTCGTCCTCCTCCTTCTCCGGCTCCCTCTCCTTCTCGTCCTCGTCATCATCTCCGTCATCTCCTCCCTCTTTTGCATCTCCGTCATCTCCGTCATCTCCTCCTTCCCTCCTCCGTCATATCCTCCCTCTCCTCCTCTCCTCCTCCTTCTCCGCCTCCGCATTATTCCCATATTCCTCCTCCCTCTCCTCCTCCCCCACCCCTCCTTCTCCGGATCTGCGTGAGGCCCCACCGCGTTGCGCACTCCACCAGCCCTCAAAGCTGCGACAATTTCATATTTCGCAGCCCCCCCCAGGGATGGCGAGATCCCGTGTGGGTCTGCGTGGAACCCCCCTGTGCTGGCCCCCCCAACAACCCTCAAAAGTGGCGACAGTTTCAAAATTTCACGGCCCCTCCAAGGGATGGCGAGCTCCCCTGGCCCCCCCAGAAGCCCTCGAAAGTGGCAGCAATATCAAAACTTCGTAGCACACCCCTGGGGATGGCGAGGACCCGTTTGGATGCGCGTGGGACCCCACTGTGCTGCCCCCCCCCCCAGAAACCCTCGAGCATGGCGTCAATTTCGCACTTCGCAGCCCACCCCCCAAGGGATGGCGAGGTCACGTGTGGGTCTGCGTGGAACCCCACTGTGCTGCCCCCCGAGCAGCTCTCGAGAGTGGCGACAATTTCACACTTCGCAACTCCCAAATGATGGCGGGGTCCCGTTTGGATCTGCGTGGGGCCCCACTGTACGGGCTCCCCCAGCGGCCCTCAAAAGTGGCGACACTTTCCCATTTCGCAGCCCCCCCCAAAGATGACGAGGTCCCGCTTGGATCTGCGCGGGGCCCCACTGCGCTGCCCCCCCCCCCCCCCGGCAGCCTTCAAAAGTGGCGATAATTTCAAAACTTCACGGCCCCCCAAGGATGGCGAAGTATTTTTGGAACCTGCGTGGGACCCCGCTGTGCTGGCTCCTCCAGGCAACCCTCGAGTGGCGACAATTTCACACTTCGCAGCCCCCCAGGGATGGCACAGTCCCGGTCGGGGCTGCGTGGGGCCCCACGGCGCTGGCTCCCCCAGCAGCCCTCGAAAGTGGCGAACGTTTTACACGTCGGCGAGGCCCCAAGAGGAATGCGAGAGGAGAGACGGCCGAGAGCCACGGCTTGCGACGGCGGCGCGGCGCCCCGTCCGCTCCGACCGCGTCGTCGCGTCGCTGCTCGGTCGCCCTCGCCGCCGCTGTTCTCCACGTCCGTTCGGTCGTCGCGACTCGGTCGTCGTCGTCGTCGTCGTCTTCGTTTTCGTCGTCGTCGTCGGCGTCGTCATCGTCGCCGTCGTCGTGCATGTCCGTTCAAGCGCCTTCACAACGACCATCATCCCCGCGCGCGAAGCGCGCTAAACTGTCTGTAATAGCCACCGTTCTGCGCGCGAGGCGCGCGCGAGTGTTTTCTATGTATGCGCGGACGCATGTTTGGGCCCTCGGCCGACGCGTCGCGCGCGCGCCTGCCCGCATTTGGCGGCCACGGCGCTCCCAAACGCGCGCACCCGCGCGCGCCCTGAACGCCGCGCGCCCTCAACGGTGGTCGCCGTGAAACGCGGCACTCGCACGCCCACGAGAGCGACGTGCGAGCGTTGTGTTGCACGGTGATTTTTTCACGGAGAGCCCGACGGCCCCTGGGCTCCACGACTCCCATGCCTCCCCAGGCGCGGGAGCGCGGCCGCGGCGGGCGCGGGCACGGCGGGAATGGCCACGGCGGGCAGGGCCACGGCGTGCACGGCCACGGCGGGTTCGGGCAACGGCGGGGTCGGGCCACGGCGGGGGCCGGCCGCGGCGGGGGCCGGCCTCGGTGGTCGTCGTCGTCGTCGTCGCGCCTGCTCGCGGAGGACGCGCAGGTGGCACTCCGCCAGCATCGCCAGGTCCTGGCTGACCCACTTCATCCAAGAGGATGAAGCGGCCAGGACCGGCTCCTTGGGAGGACCCGCCGTCGCTCCTCCGCGCTCTATCCCCGCGCCATCCACCCACCCCCTTCCCCTCCTACCTGTGGCAGAGCACGGCGCGGCGCGGCGCGAGGCGACGCAGCGCGGCGCGGCGCGGCGCGGCACTGCGCGGGCCCTCCCGAGCTCCTCGAAGAGGGCCACGTGCAGCCTTCCCCCGTCAGGCTGCGGCTCGGCCAAGCACATGGCAGCCGTCAGCCTGGGGTCGCCGAGCTAGCCCACGGTCACCTCCTTCCCATCGAGGGTGAGGAAGGGGCGCGAGCTTCGGCAACCTGTTGGCCTTCAGCTGGTCCTGTACGCGACCAATGGCAAGTCCGACCCTTGCGCCCAAACGAAGTCCACGGGGCGGGGGCCCAGGGCAAGGGCTCACATCGCTCGGGCGTTCCCGAACGACGCTGCCCTCGCGCCTGGGCCCCGCGACGCAGGCCGCGGCGACACCGACAGCGAGTCCTGTTCAGAATGAAGAGGAACTGCTGATGGGCATTGTGCCCGTTTTTCCGTGCCCATTTCGCTCGTGTCGATCCTTGGGGTTGAAGGCCTTAGGGACGGTCACGGCTGCACGCGCCCCCACAGTTCGGAGGGGCGCGGCATGGCCGATCCCAGGTCCCTGTAGAAGGGGTTCACCCCCGCGGTGGGGAACCCTTCGTGCCAGGGCCCCGCGCTGCCCAACGGCGCATCGGCTGGGCGCTCGATGCTGCACTGCAGAGGCAGCACGGGGTGCCCCGCCCCATCCACGAGGACCCAGAGCGGCATCTGGGCCGACCGCGTAGTGCTGGAGGGAGCAAGCTGGGACGCTGGAGGCGGCGGGGCGGCGCCCGCGGCAGGGGGCGGGTTGGCACCCGCGGCGGGAGGCGGTTTGGCACCCGCTGCATATAATTGGCACACGCTGCAGAAGGCGCTGGGGCTGCCAGCGCCGCCAGTTCGGGCTGCGAAGCCGTCGCGCTTCCAGTGCCATGGCTCGCCCAGGAGCGGTGCGCGCGCGGTGGGGCTTGGGTGGGCCGTGTCGCGGGCGGGTGTGCGGGGGAGTGGGTGCGCGGGCCGCGTGGGTGGGTGGGCAGGGGGTGCGCGGTCGGGCGGGTTGGCGCGCGCGCAGCTCCTGGGCGGGCCAAGCGCGGCAATGGATGCGCGTGGGTTACGCGGCCCCGCCTTGGCAGCGCGCTTCTCGCCGCGCGCGGCGGCGGTCGGCTTGCGCTCCGCCTTGCCCGCCACAACCACGTGGCAGTTGTGGGGGAGGCTGGAGCGCAGGAGCCTGCGGCACAGCGACCGCAGTCGCATCGTCGCCGCTCGCGGCACGATCCGCGGGACTCTCCGAAGGGCACACGCGCACGTTCGGCACCCCGCGACAATTTCACACTTCGCAGCCCCCCAGGCATGGCACAGTCCCGGTGGGGGCTGCGTGGGACCCCATTGTGCTGGCCCTCCCGGCAGCTCTCGAAATGGGCGACAATTTCACACTTCGCAACACCGCCCTCAGGATGGCGAGGTCCCGTGTGGGTCTGCGTGGGGCCCCGCTGTGCTGGCTCCCCCAACAGGCAGGTGCAGGCAGGCGCAGGAAGGCGAGAGGGGGACAGAGGGCGGGAGGAGGAGGAGGAGGAGGAGGAGGAGGAGGAGGAGGAGGAGGAGGAGGAGAAGGGAGTTGGCACCCCACTGCTATATCCTGAACGAGAACCCAACCGACGGAGGGTTGGGACAAAGAGTACACGACTAAAGCACCCGACCACATCTCTTTGCGCCGTCTCCCAAGCCTGACCGATCTGAGAAGCTTTCACGGGGCCCGAAACAGAATGAGAGCAACCGTGGCGAAACAATTGCGGCGCCAGGATCGGAGTGTCCGAACGCGCCACCAACTGCCGCTCCCCGGCCTCGCAAGAGGAGGGCGGCGCGCAGGCTCAAGTCGGCACGCCTCCCGATCGCCAGCGGATTCGGCGTCGGCGTCGGTGTCGGCGTCGAAGGTCGGCGTCGGCGGCGTCGGCGTCGGCGTCGGCGTCGGCGTTGGCGTCGGCGTCGGCGTCGGCGTCGGCGTCGGCGGCGTCGGCGTCGGCGTCGGCGTCGGCGGCGTCGGCGTCGGCGTCGTCGGCGTCGTCGTCGGCGTTGGCGTCGGCGTCGGCGTCTTCGGCGTTGGCGTCGTCGTCGGCGTCGGCGTCGGCGGCGTCGGCGTCGGCGTCATCGAGGTTGGCGTCGGAGTCGGCGTCTTCGGCGTTGGCGTCGTCGTCGGCGGCGGCGTCGGGGTGGGCGTCGGCGTCGGCCTCGGCGGCGTCGGCCTCGGCGGCGGCGTCGGTGTCGGTGTCGGCGTCGTCGGCGTTCGCGGCGACGGCGGCGTCGGCGTCGTCGTCGTCGTCGGCTGCCGCGCCTGGCTTTGGGCGGCCCTGGCCGATGCCGACTCGAAGCGAGCCGAACCTCAGGAGAGGCTGAGTCCATACGGAATGAACCCATACGGAAAGCTGGGTCATCCGTCTGTCGGGCCGGGCGAAGGGGGTGGATATCAAAAGGGGGTTTGAGAATCAGCTCACGAAGCTGATTTTCCCGGCGCCTCCCGGCGCCGGAGACGGCTATGTATGTATCGAGGAATGGGCCCCTCGGTGGGGCCGGAACCAGCTGCATGCAACAGATTTCGTAACCCCCCTTTTCCCTATCCCCCCCTTTCGCTCGGCCCGCTCCTCCTCCTCCTCCTCCTCCTCCTCCTCCTCCTCCTCCTCCTCCTTCCCTTTCGTCCGGCCCGAGTCTGGGCTCACTCCGTCTGGGCCTGGCCTCTCCCGGCAGGAGGCCGGGCCCACGCGCAGTGCGTCCGCACGGTCGGGGATCTTCTGACCCGGGTCAATCCAGACCCGGGTCAGCAGGAAACCAAAAAACTGCAATGCAGGAAAAAAAAAACTGCAGCGCAGGCCTTCGCAAACCCGGGTCAGCCAATACGCGCGGCCGCCTCCCGGCCACGAGCGGCTCGCTAACCCGGGTCAGCCAGAGGGGGTCTTCGCAGGATCCTGCAGGATCCGGCGCGCTGGCTGAGCCCCGTCTGCACTGACCCCCGTCTCGAGGCTCCCGACACGGAAGGCTCGGCCTCCGTCCGGGCTCCCTCCGCCTGGACTTCGCCCCTCCTGCGAGCCGAACCGAATCGCACCGCGGAGGAGGAGGAGGAGGAGGAGGAAGAGGTAGAGCAGGAGGAGGAGGAGGAAGAGGAGGAGGAGGAGGAGGAGGAGGAGGAGGAGGAGGAGGGGGAGGAGGAGGAGGAGCAGGAAGAGGTGGAGCAGGAGGAGGAGGAGGAGGAGGAGGAGGAGGAGGAGGTGGAGCAGGAGGGGAGAGGGAGGAGGGGGAGGAAGAGGAGGAGGAGGAGGAGGAGGAGGAGGAGGAGGAGGAGGAGGAAATGGAGGAGGAGCAGGAGGACTGTGAGGCGAACCGAATCGCACTGCGCGACGGGGCGCTGGGGGCGGCACTGGCAGTCTCCGCCGCACTGCTGCTCGAAGTGCTGCACGCAGTCGTCGCGGCCCGACGCCCAGTTCTCCACAGCGCCCTGCGAGAGGACCTGTCGCACGAGAGGAGGAGGGAGGCGGGAGGAGGGAGGGGAGGGGGGGAGGGGGAGGGGGAGGGGAGGGGGAGGGGGAGGGGAGAGGAGGAGGAGGAGGAGGAGGAGGAGGAGGAGGAGGGAGGAGGAGGAGGAGGAGGAGGAGGAGGAGGAGGAGGAGGAGGAGGAGGAGGAGGAGGAGGAGGAGGAGGAGGAGGAGAAGGAGGAGGAGGAGGAGGAGGAGGAGGGCAGGGACGGAGGGAGACAGGACGAGGGAGGGGGTGGGGAAGGGGCAAGGAATGAGGAGCAAGGAGGGAGGAGGGAGGACGGATGAGAAGGGAGAGACGAGGGAGGCGAGAGAATCGTCGAAGCGGACGGAGAGGGAGAAGGAAAACGGGGAGGGACCAGGGGAAGAAGTGAGGAGAACGAGGAAGAGGAAGGGGCGAGGACGAGGGGGGGGCGAGGAGGAGAAAGGGAGGAGGGGTGGAGGGAAGAGGAGGAGGAGGAGGATAGAGAGAAACAGGAATGAGAGAAGAGGGCTCCCTTTTGGCAAGGGTTGGAGGGATTGGGAAGGAACAGGAGGAGGAGAAGGGAGGAAGGAGGGAGAAGGAGGAGGCGAGCAACGAGGGGCAGCATGGAGGCCCACCACCGCGCCTCCAGGGGGCCGTGGAGACCCATGTTGCAGTTGTTCAGGTAGGTGCCGCCCTGGTACTCCTGGTACCGGGACACGATGCCCCGCAGCCTCTGGGCCACAAACAGAAACTTCCTGAGGCATTGCTGTACTTCACGGGCGAAAAACGGTATAAAATAATTTGCTTCGCTACGGAGGCGCCTGTCCCAGGGCGGCTGGGAAGTTGTTATACCCTTACGGTGGCACCGTAGGGGTATACACTTTCCAGCCGCCCAGGGGCAGGCGTTCCCGACGGCGAGAAAAGTTTATGTCATACCGTTGTTCGCACGCTGATGGTTTCTTGCTTGCTCGAGGATTTGACACGTCTGCGCACTAGACTGCCAGTACCACGCTTTCCTATGGCTTTACTGTGTGTGCCTGGCCATAAGAAGACCACTGCGCAAGCGCACTGCGAATTCCGGAAACCCTGAACCGAAAAATGTTGTCATCTCTTGGGGGCGCACTTGTTGGCTCCCGCCAGCTTCCACTTGTCTTCCGCCAGCGGGGATGCCCTCGCTTTCCTTCCGCTGCCCTCCGCCGCCCTTCCGCCGCCTTCCGCCGCGAAAGAGATGCCAACTCCTTCGATCCTCGAAGACAAGGCCCTCTCTGGAACGCCCCATATGTTTTTGGAGGTCCGCTCGGATCGGTGCTGGAGCCCTTCCTGGCGCGCGGAGCGGCCCAACGCCGATTGAAGAAATCCGCGCGGGCCCTCAGGGTCCGCGCGGATTTCCTTGATCGGCTTATGCAGATGCTTCCTGTTTGCAGGTGCAGTAGGGCCCGACCACAAGAAACCTTCCACAGAAACCCAACCCTGAGACCCCGGGACGTCCATTGCTTGTTGTCGTGGGAACGTCGTGCCCTCCATGGCAGAACCATCGAAACCGACGAAGCCCGAGGCACCCTGGATGCAAGCAGGGTGTTGCTGGGCATGGGCCTCCTCTTTAAGACGAGGGCAGGCTGAGGACAACTCGGGAATCTCTGAGAGCCGGAGGGCCCTGGAGGACGCATCGGGCGCCGCAGCCTTCTCGGAGCATGCCCGCACGACACTCTAAGAGCGTTCCAGAACGCTCTGGAGCAACTGGCCTTCTCCAGTGCACTCGGGCAGCCTCCTGACCCCCACGGGAGGAGGGAGGAAGACGAGGAGGAGGGAAGAGGAGAGAGGAGGAGAAAGAGAAAGGAGGAGGGAGGGGGAGGATTGAGGGAGGCGGGGAGGAGGAGGAGGAGGAGGAGGAGGAGGAGGAAGCGGGGGGAAGATGAGGAATCTCCAAACACCACCACCCCGCGGCTGCTCTTGGGCCCTCGTCGTTGTCGAGCATGGCCAAGGGGGCGGGGAGGCAAGACGCGGACCGGCCGGTCCAGTCCCGCAGGGCGCGCCTCCGCGAGGAGGTGGGTCTTGCGACGAGCGGACCACCACCACCACCACCACCACATCTTCATCATCAACATCACCATCACCACCACCACCATCACCATCACCATCACCATCATCACCATCAGCATCCTCCTCATCATCCCCATCATCAGCAGCAACAGCACAGTCCTCCTACTCCGCCTCCACATCATCATCACCACCACGATGGCCATCATCATTAGCATCACCAGCAGCATCATCATCATGATCATCATCAGCAGTATCATCATCGTCACCATCATCATGACCATCATCAGCATCCTCACCATCATCATCCAGCATCCATCGTCCTCATCATCAGCATCGTGATCATCATCATCATCATCATCAGCAGCATCATCATCGTCATCATCATCGTCAACATCATCATCAGCATCATCAGCATCAGCATCAGCATCCTCATAATCAGCATCAACATCATCATTGCCATCATCAGCACAATCAGCATCATCATGAGTCTTATCAGCATCGTCATCATCACCACCACCACAATGCTGGTGCTTCCGCAAGTCTTTCGTGCTCTAGATTGCACATTCACCGTCACTCCTCCATGCGCTCACAAGCGACAAGCCACATGCTTCACACCAGCAAGCCGAGCGCGCAGTGTGCCCGACTGTCGAGGGCACCGAGTCGGGGCTTACTACTTGCCTCTGAGCATTAAGCGAGCATGGTTTTGAGGACGATCCAGTTCCTGGTCGGTGATGCCAAGTCGCTCAGCTGTCGACTTCAATTCTCGCATGACCTCTGATGAGGGTTCAAAGCGCAGCATCCTCAGCGCGTCGACAATGGCCGGGATATACATCTTATGCTTGTCGGCGATGGCGCTATTTCGGAGACGCAGTACAACTTGGTTGGCAAGACCCTTCACAATGGACTGGTCATGAAACACGTCTTTTATACTCAAAAGCCAAAGAAGCTGAGCTGCTTGGTAAGGGGTGGCCCTTGGGATCCTGGATTTCAGGTGTGGGGCCAAGTAGCTATACAATGGTTCGACGTCTGCATCAAAGAGAATTGTGCCGGTGAGTATACTAATGATCGGGAGCAATGGAAGTTCGCCCGAGTAGCGCCTGCATGCTTCAATGAACTTCATCGCGAGAGCATGTACCATAGCCTGATCCTTCATCGCCTCTGGATCTGCCAATTTTCGCAATGCTACCCGCTTGCGCCGTAGTTTCAACATGACTTCGCTGCTGCTTCGGATTTCCTTGACAACCGACTTGACATCACCAGCGACCGCATTTGCTTTGATGATTTCATCCTCCTCTTGCACACTCCAAGCTGGGCAGAGCCTGTTCCATCTACTCACTAGCCCTCTTTCGATCTTCACGACCTCGGCTGCACGTTGGCAATATGTTGGCCGCATCCCAATGCCGAGCTCATCTCTTGCGTCACGTTTCACAAGAAAGACGGAGTACGTGTTCACATTGTCAACGGCCATGGCACAAAAAGCCTCGTATCTCGCATAATCCTTACATATCCTGGACAATCCGCCGGCCCGCGTTGGGTCTCCAGGCGTGTGAGATTATGCCCCCCCCCCTTTACCCCCCCCGGCAGGGGTCTCGAACTTGCTGGAACAAGTTCGCAGCGAACATTGCCCGACCGACAATCAAGCCCAATTGTCAAACTGGCCAGCGGCGACAGGTGGGATACCAACACCCCCGATTGGCAACTTGACATTGGGACCCCATTGTCAAACGGGCCATCGGCGACGAGTGGGGCCCCAACCCCCCCGATTGGCAATTTGACAATGGGGCCCCGTTCTGAAACGGTTCATCGGCGATGGGCGGGGCAGGGTTCCAGCGCGCACGATTGGCTATTTGACAGTGGGGCGCCATTGTCACATGGGCAACGACGGGCGGGGCGGGGTGGGATACATCCCGGTTACGAAAGTGTATTCATGTTGTCTAAGAATGCATGATGGAAACTCGCGTGAAAAGGAAATGTGGGGGTGATTTTTCGTTGAAGTTCCAGGCGGGGAGGTTTTCACGGCCGCGCGAGAATGCCCGGGAGTGTCTTTCCCCACTGTGAAATTATAGGGGGAGAGATTTCATCCTATATTAAGTGCACACTATTAACTGTACAGCAGGGAAACCCTGTAAAGCTCTCCCGCACAGCCGGGCCGATGGTTGTCGTGCTAGGGGTCTGCGGGGGAAAGGGGACCCCGGCTCGGTGACGTCCTAGTCGCCAGTGCTCAAGATGAATAGTTTTCGTAATGGGCAAGTGAGTATGCCGAGGGACACGCTGCATCAAAACGACAACGAGCATGCTGAATCACTGCCTTGATATGGGCATGACAACGACGATGACGAAGATGAGCCTGCCAATCTGAAGTGTCCCATGCGGAGCGATTGCGGTTTGAGCGGGTCCAAGTCGGAGTGATTTCCCAGCCCTTTCTCTGCGGGGCGGAATGATTATCACACCGCTGTAGATATACACTATTATGCTAGAGCCACGCGCGCCCTTCGCGCGCTTAAGTCCTACCCAGGCACAGGCACCGGATGCGTCGCGAAGCGAATGAGGTGGGGAGAGGTTGCAGGAAAAGCGGTGGATAACTAACTGGTGACTCACTGAGGACTGCCAGGCATATAATCCACCCACTGGCCCTCGTAGCCATCGGCCCTCTCGATGAGATGGAGCAACAGCAGCATGATGACGAAAAGCTCGCGGCCAGAGCGAGAATGGTTAGGCGGAGAAGTCCCCCTCGAACCTCGATCATCGAGTCACCCCGCTGCACCCCCCAGCAGCCTCGAAAGTGGCGACATTTTGGCAGATTGCAGCCCCCCAGGATGGCAAGGTAGGAGGCAAGCTGGCACGCAGGAAGGAGCGAGGTGAGAGGCAGGAGAGAAGAGGAGAGGAGGAGGGAGGCGGGAGAAGGATCAGACGCGCGGGCAGTGTTCGATTCAAAACGAATACCCAACGCAGGAGGGTTGGGAAAAACTGCCTCCAAGACGCCCCCGAGACGCCTCCCATGAGACCCCACCAGAGGGCCCATGAGGCCCCCAAGACGGCCCCATAGGGCCCCAAGAGGACCCCGAAGAGCGCCTCCAGAGGCTAAAAAGATTATTGTTTTTCCCGTTGGTTTTTGAAGGAAGGATTTTAGCGTTCTTGTTTTTCCCTGCCTAGGCTCTGCCTAGAAGGGTTCTTACTTTCGAGCTTAAAAGGGCCGGGCAGTGGAAAACGCCCCGGGCGGTTCCCCCGGCATCCGCCCCGAGGTTCCCCCAGTTACGTCCCCTTAGCTTAGCGCTGCTTATCTCATCTTAGCTTCGCCTAGCTTAACTTAGCTTAGCTTAGCCGAGCTTTGCCTAACCTAGCTTAGCTTAGCTTAGCTTAGCCTAGCCTAGCCTAGCCTAGCTTAGCTTAGCTTAGCATAGCTCAGCTCAGCGTAAGCGCAGCATTAGCATATCATAGCATAGCATGCCATAGCATAGCGCAGCCTAGCATAGCGCAGCATAGCATATTATAGCACAACATAACATAGTATAGCATAGCATAGCGCAGCATAACATAGAGTATCATAGCATAGCTTAGCTTTGCACAGCGCATCATAGCATAGCATAGCATAGCATAGCATAGCATAGCGCAGCATAGCATAGCAACGCATAGCGCAGCATAGCATAGCATAGCATAGCGCAGCATAGCATCGCATCACATAGCCTAGCATAGCCTAGCCCAGCATAGCATTGCGCAGCATAGCATAGCATAGCATAGCATAGCAGAGCAGAGCAGAGCAGAGCATAGCGCAGCACAGCATCCACTATTGCTGCTATATATGTGTATATATATATATATTGCTACAACTACGACGATGAGGAGGAGGAGGACGGCGTTTACCGCTCCTACTAAGGTTGCTTTCCTAGAGGCTCCAACTCCTAGGTAGGGTCGCACTGGGATAATTTCTATCCTGAAAGGCCCATGACGGCCCAAGCAGCCTCCAAAATGGCCCCAGGACGGTTCCCAAGAGGACCCCAAGACGGTCTCAAAGGGTCCCTAGACAGCCTAAAGAGGCCCCCAGGACGGTCCAAGAGGCCCCCGACAGAAGCCGAGAGGACCCCCAGACGGCCCAAGACGGCCCAACACGACCCCAAGAGAGCCCCACGGCGGCTGCGAGAGGCCTACAGGTTTGCCTCGAAAGGAACCAAGCGGCGCAAGAGTGCCGCAAGACAGCCCAAAACGCCCCCAAGAGGCCCCAAGAGGCCCCAAAGAATACCCCAAGAGGCCCCAAGAAGCTCACAAGAGGCCTCCAAAAGGCCCGAAAGAAGCTTCCACCAGGGCCCACAACGTCTGGTCCGCACGTGCTCCGGACGTGCACCCCGCGAAGCGAGAGGAATTTTATTAAAGAGTAAGGGTCACTAGTTGAAATTTCGCTGGCCATGCCCTTCAATTCAACAAACATGTCCACAATCACAGGGTCAGGCAACGCATAGAAGGCGTACGCGCCGACAATACTGGTGAGGCTGAGGTCCCTGTCTCGTGCTGCGCGGATGAGATCTGGGATATGCGGCGCAAGGGTCCGGAATATTTCGTCCGTCTGGAGATTCCGCTCAATCATGCTCAGGCCGAACACAATTTCGCCCAACGGATTGACTTGTTTGTCCTTTATCAGATCCGGCAGGGCTTCCAGCACCGCAAGGGTTGCGTGCTCGCGAAGGAGGGCATGCTCGCCTGCGGAAAGGCCAGCGGAGACAACGCCGTCTAGGCGTCCCAGACTATAGATCACATTGCCCAGATAGTGTCCCCTCTCGGTCCAAACACTACGACTGTCTGGCGGTTCTTGAAACTGCTGCTCGACTTCCAGCCTGGAATGTCCTCCATCACCATGAAGAGCAGATTTTTCCATGCATTCGTCTGCCCCGCCTGACTCGAAGCCTCGAAATTAACTTTTGAAAGCCGAAGCAGGATCGATGCCCGGTGTAACATATCGGTGTCCTCATGCTCGAAGAGGCTGAAGAGCTCGTCACTCGTCATTGCGGCTTGGATGTTCTTCATCAGACTCGAGGGGGACATGCAGAAGCAACGCACATCTCGAGCATACCTCCGCTCCCTCAGAAAGCATCGCGGCCAGGCACCATGACCACGAACTGGGTCGAGGGTTCTCCCCTGCGGGCGACTCGCCGCCCTGCCCGCAGAAGCAGAGCTGCACAGGAACAGTGCTCCGTGGCTGCACACAGCAGCTGCGATGGCAGTGCAAAAGCATGTCAATGTTCCACCAGCACGCCGTCCACGGTGCAAAACCATTCGCGCGACAAGCAGGACGCCAACTGAGAAGAGCAAGCCTGGCCCGTGCATGTCTCGACACCTGAAACCAAACCGGCTTGGGCCAGCGCCGCTTGAGCCAAAACGGCTACGGACGGAAGAGGACATGGAGCAGACTGAGAAGCAGCAGTGCTGGGAGAAGGAGGAGGGATGGGAGAACAACAGAGGCTGAGGGGCCCCGGACCGATGCGGCTTGGTTCTTGCCTGCCTGCCACCCTCCTGGCGCCGTGCCGCGCGAAAGCGGCGCTGGCCCAGGTCGCGCACGCATCTTCGCGCACCTCGCCCCGCGAGGCGCGGCGCGAGGGCATCTCCGCGCCGCCCACGCCGCTCCCTCGGAGAAGGCCGGCGTTAGGTCGGGCGTGTCCCCCTACAGGCGGATCTTGGACGAAAAATCAAGAATAGTCGACAACATTCAAAAAGAATCAAAAAATAGTTGACAAGTCTTCCCTGAACCATGTTTTGACAAGTTTTGAACCGTCCTCCTGTGGAAGGGCAAGCCCGACTTTAAGGCCAGTGGCTCTGGCCCAGGCCGCGACGCGCGAACCGTGATTATCTTGGCTTGGGTCATGCTGCTCCCATCCTACTTGAGGAGCGCATCCCAAAAATAGTCTCGAGCACCTGGAATAGTGCCGAAAGAGTGCCGAAAGAGTGTCGGACGAGTGTCGGGCGTGAAAACCCTCGAGTTTCGGCACGCTTCTGGTGCCCAAAATTCTTTCGAGTGATCAAGGCTAAAGTAGGTTGGAACATCACAAGGCTTGGCGCCCAGCCGCGGGTGACCTCGGCTCTCCTGCCACCCCCCGGCGCGCCGTCGAGGCGCCCGCCAGGGCCGCGGCGTGCGATGGGTTTCGTGCCGTGACGAGCGCTGCGCTGCTCGACCGCCAAATGCCGTCGCCGCCGACGTCGTCGCCCTTGCCGCCGTCGTCGCCGTCGTCGTCGTCGTCGTCGCCGACGCCGCCGCCGCCGCATTCGTCGTCGTCGTCGTCGTCGTCGTCGTCGTCGTCGCCGTCGTCGTCGTCGTCGACGCCGCCGCCGCCGTCGTCGTCGTCGTCGTCGTCGTCGTCGTCGTCGTCGTCGTCGTCGTCGTCGTCGTCGTCGTCGTCGTCGTCGTCGTCACCGCCGCCTTTGCCGTCGTCGTCCTCGCCGCCGCCTGCCGTCGTCGCCGCCGCCTGCCGCCGCCATCGTCATCCCCGTGCGCGCTCGCCTTGGCGCCACCCGTGGGCGCCCCGAGGCGCCCGCGGGCGCCTCGCCTATGGGCCCCCCGTGCGCTGGCTGGCTCTTCCGGCACTTCGCCCGGGTCCGCCCGTGGGTTCCTCGTGGGCGCCGCGTGGCCATGGCCTGCGCCACACCGCCTACAACACGTGGCTTACCCCACGCAGCCTGCACCACACAGGCTTCGCCGCATAGCTCGCACCGCCTAGCTTGCGCAATACATAGATACGTATATAATTACTAGAACCACGCGGGCGCTTCGCGCGCGCTTAGGTTCTAGCGCAGGCCAGGGGAGAATTAAAACATATTGGGATCCTCTAGGTAGAGCGAATGTTTCAAGCCTTTTTGGGGTTATGAGAGACTGGAGAGACGAGAACGCGTAAACATCAGAAAACCACACAGAGTGGCATGAGTGGGTTTTCTTGGCGGCAGTCTTGGGGTCTTTTGGGGCTCTTATGGGGCCCTCGACGGCCGTCCCGGAGCGCTATTGGGCAGACTTGGGAGGCCGGGGCCGTCTTGGGGCTCTCTTGGGGCCCTGTTGGGCCCTCTTGGGGGTCTCCTGTGGCTCGCGCAGGGCTCTCTTGGGAGCCTTCTGGGCCCTTTGAGGCCGCTCTTGGGCCGTCATGGGGCTCTCTTTGCGTATGGGGTTGAAGTACAAGGGTACAGAACCCCTGATCCGCTGGTAGAGGGATCGAGGGATAGATGGATGTCTTTCCCTCCTGCACGATCAAAGGTATGATCGATCCGTCCCAAGCGTACTTGGCAAGTCCCAATACCTGAGCCCAGACGGCCAGGCGCAGGAGAGGTGAGGATAAGGAGTATACATGAGGGTATTACACGGGTTCTATTCACACCCCCCGTCCCGAATCCCGCCCGTGAGGGAAGGGCTCGGGAACAGAGGAAAAGAATTCGTCACCCTTTTACTCCGTCAATCCTCAGGTCTGCAGGCAGCTGAGCGCAAAGTCAGTATGGCCTCAGCTGCAAGGTAAGGTAAGAAGGATCAACCAGGGTCACAATTTCTTCGCCAAGCACGCTTTGGTGCCCCCTCGATGCGCCCCCCAAAACGCTTCGGCACTCGAGCGCGGAGAAGAATGAGACGCGGGTGGGCGGAGAAAGAGGATCTGAGCAAGTTAAAACAACTTGTAATTTGCCTCGCCTATGCGAGGCAGGTGTTGCCAGCAGCTGTCAGATGATTCTCAACGCAATGGAGTTAGACTCTACAGAATATGCATTCTGAGATCGTGTTGATGAACACGATCGTGTTACGAAACGCATCTATATATCAAAGCAAATGTCTGGCCAGACGAAAGGTCGTGTTGATGAACACGAAAAATTGCATGTATGTAAAATCTCTATATGGCGACTCCCGCTGGCGCTGCTCCTTTGGAGGCTGCCTTGGCAATCGCAAAATATGTGTGTATGTGTGGCCACTTGTATTGTATAGTGAAGTGGCCTAGAAGTATATAATAGCCACCGCTCAAGGCGAACTTGTATTATAATGAAGTTCAAGCCTTTCGAGCGGTGGGCCTTGCGGCCGACTCATTACGCGTTGCCGTTCTCGTAGAACCTGCGGTCCCACATCCTGTGGCCATCGTACGTCACGTAGCTCGTCGTGAACGTCTCCCAAGATGTCCTCGGGATCCAGTGGCGAAACCACTTGTTGTACTGGATGTCGCGGATGTATACGAACTCGTCGTTGTTGAGCGCGATGTAGATCCAGCAGTTGATGTAGTAACTCCAGTACCTGAGGCCCCAATGGCTGTCCTCTAGGTCGTCGCGCCACCAGGCGGCGTAGTCTGTCGCACGCGCCCTCTTGGCGCGAGGTCTGTAGCTGTCATCGCTATCCTGCCGCTGCGCAGCAGTGCCGCGCGGCCCCGCGAGCGCGTGGCCATCCGCGCCAGAGGCGCTATACCGTGCAGCATCGCCAGGGGCAGGGCGCGGCGGCGGCGGATGGCGCGGCTCCATGGCATCATCAGAGTGCTGGAAGTGTGTATCAGGTTCGATCGGATCGGTTCTCGTCCCTGCATCAACCCCCCTCTGGTCGGTGGAACCCAAGGCAGAACCCAACAATTCGCGAGCAAGCGCGGCAAGCTTGCGCTGCGTGACTTTCTCACGGGTGCCATCCCCCCTGGAGAGGGCAATCGTGACAAGTCCGCGAGCCTGCCGCGTGCGTCTGTCGAGTCTGCCTTCGTTCAACCGCCATTTCTTCCGACCAGCTTGGCCTGTCCTGATGCTGGTCTCGAGGATCTCACATGCATCACGCATGTCCTCAACGGTCCAGGCCTTCTTGCCCACGTTGACGCGAGCGCCTGTCATTTGGTGGTGGAACTTCAAATCATTGAGAAAACGCTGAACGAGATTGGCATATGGATGGCACAGAGGCCTGTCGTCTTCAGCCGCGCCCATCAGTCTGCACTCGTGTGCAGGAGGGCGGCCAGAGTCGACCCACTTCTGATACCTCTTCCTAGCGGAATTGGCCATTCTCCTCAGCGCGCCTTTCTCATTGCATGGAAATGAGCGCTTGCCCGTCATGATGACTTGCGCTCCGTCTCTCACGTACCTCGTCATGTCATCCTGGGAGAGCGTCGTCTTGATCCAGTGGGTCAGCTTCTGGAGGTATGCTAGGTCGCTCTGGACGGCGGTACTTTTACCCGTAGCACCTACAGATACAGTGCACTGCCAGCAGATGTCACAAAGGGTACAATCATTTGTAACGATCCCTAGGGATAAGATGCGATCGCAATTCCGACATCGCGCGATATCATGCTGGATAGTTTCTGGGGCTCCGTCAACCGTGAGATGCTCACGGGATCCCCATTGGGTCGCCTGACCACGAGCGAGACTGCGGCCGATCTGATCCATGGCATCGCGGTCGATCTCAGCATTCGGTCGGGAAGCGATTGATCTACTCATTCCCTCGATCTCGATCCTAGACAATCTTTCCCCTGGCAGTCCTATGCGCTGTCGTGACGTTGTCCGCATCCTCAGTATCACCATGGCATACGTTTTCTGTGCGGAGACGGCGAGCCTCCTCCTGCAAGGCGGACTCGTTGTCGCCCTCCTCGCGGCTGACTCCCGTCTGCTCGGCTATGATCCGTACCATGGTTTCTTGATCAGGAGCTGCGGATGCAATGCTGCCTGGGCCCTGGGGAATGTCCTGCTCCGCGCCCGGGTCACGTGGCGCGGCAAGTGTTTCCACCAGCTCCGTCCATGCGGGGAAGCCTGGATTGCCGAATGTCTTGATGCAATGTGTAAATAGATCACGCAATGTGTGGAGTGCGGGATGATTCTGGTGGATAGCATCTTTTGTGAAGTCACGGAGCTCCGCAATACTGTCCAGCAATATGTTTTGATACACTTTGGAGATCCATTGAAAGACGCCTGTAGTCGACTCCTCGGTGGTCTCTGGGCCCAGGTAGTGTACCAACTTTTTGAAGAAGCAATCTGCACTGCAAATCGGTAAGTCACGTGCCCATTTGTGGGTATGGTTATAATCCAAATAGTATGTCTCTGCGTTCCATGCTTTGGATCCGAATTGAACGTCAAATTGTAAGTACGACTGTACTCTATCCACAACAAATCTGTCCACGCCAGTGTGCACCTCAATGATTTGCATCATCTTTATCATAGGTGAGTCTACCAAAAGCTCCGACACCCAGCGGTATATGCTGTGGTCGTATGAGTGTCTGGTCCACCGTGTGTCCTCCTCTGGGTCGTAGCCGGGGTGACTGAGGAAGTCTTCTGGCGGGTCAATAACGTTGTCGAGGATGCTCGCGTCGACGTGCTCATCTGCTTGGATCTCTGCTGATAGATCTGCTTTCATATTGTCAGTTGCCGCTTTTTCTTCGGCAGTGAGTGGTATGTTTGATATATCCACAATAACGGTAACCAGAGGTTCGGCAGATTGGCCTGCCGTTTGTTGGGGCCCATCGTCCGCGGGAGCGGTATCCTCGGCAGGTGCGGCCACCAGCTCTTCGGGATCGGGTGTCCGAGGAGCGGGCCGTCTGGTCGGTGTACGTGGGACACGTGGCTTATAAATGCTCGGCATACCGAGATATGGCAGATCACCATCTGTTTTGTGCTGAAGTATTTTGTCACGGCATGAGGATGGTCCTTCCAGGGCAGTATTCATATTTC